CACACAGCGCATGGCCACACTAGATGTACACGCTGCTTCTCAACAACCCATCTTAGGCAGTGACAGATTCCATTTCAGATACTGTAGGTGGTCTCAGGGTGGGACATTTTATAGGTGACTCAGCTGCTCTCCATTCCTAGGCCCAGGTGAAACAGCCAGCACTCACTGCTTTCCCCGTCCCACCTGCCCATCCTAAGTTCGCTAAGTCTTAGGAAGAAGTAGAGAGACACTGGTATGAATATGCTGACTTAAAATACCAAACAGGACATAGTAAGAACAGCCATAACATTCTTAGGCCCCTTCCCCCTACAGAAGTACAAGCAAGTTTCCTTTTCCTGGCACTGTTACAAATGAAAGGGCCCCCAGGCAAAAGCAGAATCCAGTGGAAACCCAGAAGATCAAAAATACACTCTGAGCTGCAGAACTGCAAAGGATGCAACCTTTAGGAGGCCCTGAGAAGCTTTAAGAAAAATCTTACCTCAACAGCATGTAAAAAGCACTCAGAGGAACAAGATGGCAATTTAAAACGAGACTGCCTCTTGAAAGGGAATCCGTCCCTAGCCTCTCCCACTGTCCCCAGCATGCAGAGAAGCTGGTGCAAGGCTGTATCCAACCTGGTCCTCAAGGTAGGGAATCAAGCCATGTTGGGCAGGCCAATCAGGTCCCTCCCTGGGCCTGACACAATCGCCCCCCTCACTCGTGGAGGTGCAGGTGACATGACAATAACAACACAATGCTCAGACCAATAGGCTAGAAAAATCCCTGTTTCCCCATGGCAGTGAGGTAACGAGCAGGACGCTCAGCTCAGGCATGTGTGCTCTCTGAATTCAGGCTGGTGCACCAAGTCCCCTAGAAGTCTGTCCCTGCACCTCACGCCATCAACTGCAACCTTGGAGCTGGAACCTCCTGTGGCCTGGGAATGTCAGCTGGTCCTTTCAAAGTGGCTCCAGCTACTCCACATTCCCTTGGTCCCTTTCCCTGTATTTGTGACCCAGTATGGAGTTTGAACATCTGTTTCCATGGAGAGGAGTCTGGTAGCAGAGGGCGAGTCATGGGATCAAGTCCTCATTGCTCAGGGGCAAGTGAGGAGCAGGAATGGGGACAGCACCGTCCCATGGGGACTGTCCCCAGCCCTTCCCCAGCTCCGTGCCTGGAAGGAGTAGAGGTCAGGGCCTCCCTGCAGGAGGGAGCAGGGCCATCCAGGGGGACAGAGTGCAGAGGGGACTGGGGGATGGGTTAGGACCCTTGCCTGCCTCCTCTCAGTCACCCCCAGACCAAGTGGGAAGGGAGGGATAAGGGTGGGGAAAAAGAAAGGGGGCATTACGATTAGCATGTATAGTGTGTAGGGGGGGGCACGGGGAGGGCTGTGAAACACAGAGAAGACAAGTAGTGATTTTACACCATCTTACTACGCTAATGGACCGTGACTGTGAATGGGTATGTGTGGGAGACTTGGTGAAGGGGGGAGCCTAGTAAACATAATGTTCTTCATGTAATTGTAGATTAATGATACCAAATTAATTAATATATATATATGCCTATGATTTTGTAAGCACTATACTTGATTCAACAAAAATTTAAACGTTAAGTCTGAAAAGCTTCTTTACCTGAAATAGACCAACCAAGCAAAAAGATCCCACAACAAAATCTCAACTTGAAAGCATGACTGTTCGGAGATGCACTGTAGACCCCACCTTATATGCAGTCACTCTGTGGGCACTCTGGCTCCCAGCAGGCCTCCCTGTCTCACCTGCAGACGGTCACCACGGCTCCCTCTGTCCTGTCAGGTGGCTGAGCTGCTCTCAGCAAGTGATGCCAGAATCGTGCAAGCAGCAGGCTCTCCCCAAGGCACCACCAGGCCACCCTCCCCAGACCACAGGTGTGCAGAATGCCACAAGTGCCTCTCACAGGTCATTCTCCAGCCAAATCCAGGGAGAACCCTCCTGCTGCGTCTCAGCCCTTGGGAATTACTGCTGCAACATCCACGAGCAAGATTCTGGAAGTACCAGAGGGAGAAGGCTGGGAGGAAGGTGGAATTTTAGGAGAAAGACAAGGCAGAACAGTAAAGAGCAGGAGCCTGGCCGGTGCGCTGCACTAACGCATCTGGTGGCGGGCAGTGGTGGTCTTCAACTGACTGCACACGGCCCAGCCTCAGGTGCTGATTCCTACCTAATCCCAGGTGTGGATGGTGCTCCACCAGCGACCAGCTGTTGTCATCCACGCAATGACTTCTGTAAACCAGCAACTGGCACAGGTCCCTGGCAGTCATGTCTGTGAGAATCTCCACCACTTTGCTTGTCCCGTCTTCACTGAAGACTTTAACATCCTGCAACACATAAAGGACACTTACAGATTAACACCTTTGGGCTTTCCAGAAATACAAACAAAAATAAAACAGAAAAAGCACACATAGCAGTGCTCCTGCACCTATACAACTATTCTGTCAAGCAGTAGGACACTGGCGGTGGTGTTCAGGAGAGCCGGTCTAGTGGCCCTCCCACCTCCCCTCACTCCCCTGGGGCAGAGCAAGTAGGATTACTACGAGAAGTTCCTCAAAGGCCCAGGACATGTCAGGGAGCACACAGCGCATGGCCACACTAGATGTACACGCTGCTTCTCAACAACCCATCTTAGGCAGTGACAGATTCCATTTCAGATACTGTAGGTGGTCTCAGGGTGGGACATTTTATAGGTGACTCAGCTGCTCTCCATTCCTAGGCCCAGGTGAAACAGCCAGCACTCACTGCTTTCCCCGTCCCACCTGCCCATCCTAAGTTCGCTAAGGCTTAGGAAGAAGTAGAGAGACACTGGTATGAATATGCTGACTTAAAATACCAAACAGGACATAGTAAGAACAGCCATAACATTCTTAGGCCCCTTCCCCCTACAGAAGTACAAGCAAGTTTCCTTTTCCTGGCACTGTTACAAATGAAAGGGCCCCCAGGCAAAAGCAGAATCCAGTGGAAACCCAGAAGATCAAAAATACACTCTGAGCTGCAGAACTGCAAAGGATGCAACCTTTAGGAGGCCCTGAGAAGCTTTAAGAAAAATCTTACCTCAACAGCATGTAAAAAGCACTCAGAGGAACAAGATGGCAATTTAAAACGAGACTGCCTCTTGAAAGGGAATCCGTCCCTAGCCTCTCCCACTGTCCCCAGCATGCAGAGAAGCTGGTGCAAGGCTGTATCCAACCTGGTCCTCAAGGTAGGGAATCAAGCCATGTTGGGCAGGCCAATCAGGTCCCTCCCTGGGCCTGACACAATCGCCCCCCTCACTCGTGGAGGTGCAGGTGACATGACAATAACAACACAATGCTCAGACCAATAGGCTAGAAAAATCCCTGTTTCCCCATGGCAGTGAGGTAACGAGCAGGACGCTCAGCTCAGGCATGTGTGCTCTCTGAATTCAGGCTGGTGCACCAAGTCCCCTAGAAGTCTGTCCCTGCACCTCACGCCATCAACTGCAACCTTGGAGCTGGAACCTCCTGTGGCCTGGGAATGTCAGCTGGTCCTTTCAAAGTGGCTCCAGCTACTCCACATTCCCTTGGTCCCTTTCCCTGTATTTGTGACCCAGTATGGAGTTTGAACATCTGTTTCCATGGAGAGGAGTCTGGTAGCAGAGGGCGAGTCATGGGATCAAGTCCTCATTGCTCAGGGGCAAGTGAGGAGCAGGAATGGGGACAGCACCGTCCCATGGGGACTGTCCCCAGCCCTTCCCCAGCTCCGTGCCTGGAAGGAGTAGAGGTCAGGGCCTCCCTGCAGGAGGGAGCAGGGCCATCCAGGGGGACAGAGTGCAGAGGGGACTGGGGGATGGGTTAGGACCCTTGCCTGCCTCCTCTCAGTCACCCCCAGACCAGAGAAATCCCAATGGGGGCAGATCAGGACTGGGGGACCTGCTTTCAACTCACATTTTTCAAGAAATCCACCCATCTCTTTTTCAGAATGTACTTTTCTCTACACAACAGTTACACTTCTATAGAACAAATAAGTGTTCAAATATTAATAGACATGGATGAGTCTATAATATGATTTATACAAAAGTTTCTAGTCTACAGGTAAAAACAAATACATTAACATAAAAGAAAAATTTAGAAAATACAAATGGATTCAAGCCATTCCTTATAAATATGGTAATTATCTTCTCTAGTAATGCATAGTCATGACTAACAAAACCAGCATGTCCCTCATTGCTCTTCTTCCCTAAGTTTCTAAGTGAGTTTATCTGCAATTACAATGAACGTTATCTTCCCTCAGAAACTTCAGTTGAGGTGTGTTTCCTGTCTTTTATCACGCTTGCTGTCCCCCTGTTGGTTGAGGCACCAGTTCCTAACTTTGTCAGCCTAGCCATGTTTCTCTTTGACCTCACTCCTCGCCTCTCTGTGGCTCCACGGCCGTCCCCCAGAAGGTCTAGATGTGGTCTGAGTATTAAAAGCTAAGATGTGCTTTGTGCCATGGCCACTGCTTGAGATTCCCAGGAAGGCCAGGCTGGAGGGGCGCATGAGGGGTGGGGGAGCAGGGCAGTTGCAGGCCTGTGGCAGGGACATGAGGACAATGCTAATGACAGCACCTCAAGTCCCTGCTCGGCCTGACACAGCAGGCTCCAGCTACCTCCGCAAACTCAGCAGGGGCTACTGACCACAGATGAAACAGACCCCAAGACAGGAAACCACAAAGGCACTACACAGGCCAGCAGTGTCAAACTGGGCACATGTTTGGAAGCCAGGCGAGAGTATTGGTACTGGACAGGCAGCTACCTTCTAAGGTGTGGTTCTGGAAGGAGTGAGCTGCACAGCGCCAACTGCCCCTTCAGGCACCACCTGAGTGGTGCTGGGGCTCATTCTGGAAGCAAACAGGGTTTTATGTCTCAGCCTTCGGTGCCACAGGCTGAGCCCAGGGCCGTGGGGAGCAGGTGAGGCCCCTTGGTTGGACTCTCAGGCATCGTGCACAGGCAGGGAGCAGAAGCTTCTTTTCAGTGGGCAGGCCAAGGCCTCTGCCCCACAGCTCAACAGGGAGATCCTTCCTGCAGGCAAACAGTTTTCCAGGGCACAGCCTATCCAGGGAGTCTACAGATCTGAGTAATGCCAGTGTGGGGCTAACTCAGAGTGCAGACCCATAGTGCTCTGTGACCTCGGGCAGGCGGTGGTTAAAGAGACTCACGTCCCTCTTGTGCTGTGGGCACTGCTCTGAGAGTCAATAATGAAGGCAGAGCCCAGTGCTCGGCATGTGGAAGTGAAAGCATCATTGTGACCAACGTGGGCAAGGCTGGATCTGCTCTAGAATCAGGCTGCAGTCTGCCTTCACCCCTAGCGAGCTGTGGGAACTTGGCTGAGGGGCTCAGCCTCTCTGTGCCTCAGTGTCCTCATCTGTGAGATGGGGATTGATAGGTAGCACTGGCCTCACCACGTGGGCTCAGCTCAGGTCAATGAGAGCCTCTCTTGAACTGCTCTCTGCCCCCTGTGCCTGCTCCCCAGGGTGCACTAAAGACTGGACACAGAGCTGAGAATAAGGCAGATTGCCTCTGAAGGCCTGCAGACACCAGGAAAGGGGACCCTTGACCCTGAAGGCTGCTTCTGGCTCCAGCTTGCAATTCTGAGAAAGCAAACCTCATGACCAGTAAGATGCAGTGGGAACAATTCAGATGGAAAAGCCAGTCCCTGAATCCTCAATTTCCTTTTATCTGCTACAAAGGAAATAAAGTAGCTCCTTGCTTTTAAAAATAAAACTAATATTAAGAGGGCATAATTATGTCAACAGCATGAGCCTCTTTAAGGCACAGCAGCCTGCTCTAAGAGCCCCGACATTCACTCCGCTGGCCCCAGAGCACTGCTGTCGCTTCTCACACATTCATCAGGCAGAGGGGAGAAGCAAACTACAAGGCAGGAGCTAAAGAACAATCAGGGTTGAGGTTACATAATCTCCATGGCCCCTGTGGATAAAATAAAAGTTCCTGTGGGCAGGATTCTCACTGGCCCTGGTTGGCTAGCTCACTACACACGTGTGGTCAATATGTTGTTATTGACTCTATATAAAGAGCTCCGCCCAGTGGTCTGGGTGACACAGTAGCCTGGCTGCAAGGCTGCAGGAGAGCAGAGCAGAGGCTGGAGTGGTGGCAGCGCTGAGGACAGAGGCCCAGGGGATGGCTGTGTGGGCAGAGAGGCCTAGAGGCCAAGACCAGCTTGCTGCGTGCAGACTTGTTCTGAGTGGACAGGATTTTACTGACTGACCTGCCACCGTGGGAATAAAGTTGGGTATAACCCTTTCACCCAAGAATGTTCGACTGTCATGTCTTTGGTCATACTGCATCCATAGTGAACTTACCCAGGGCTGAAACTCATTGGCAAGACAGCCCCGAACTGCACTCTGGGAGCGTGGCTTTCATCTCAGTGGTCCCCAGCCAGCAGCCAGTGGTGTTGCCTCCCTGCTGCCAGTCTCACTCCAATCCACTCACTGGTACACCCTGCTGGCTGATGGAGGCTTGGAATCTCCTACTGAATGCAGAAGGCCTTTGATGTTGGACAAGACCACCTTGCTAAAACAGAAAATGGGGTACTCTCAGCTCTGCCCCATGGAGCTCCCTGCAGTGATGGGCATCCTGGGATGAACAGCCAGCTTCCAAGTGCACGGACTGAGCAGAGCACAGCAGGGCTCCCCAGTCCCTGGCATGGAAGCCAAGAGTTCTGGAGGGCTCTGAGCCCAGAGCCCTTGGGCCAGCTTCACCTTAGTTCTTCATTTTCCATCAGTGGACTTCTCAGCTCATGGCTCTGCCTTTCTCAAAGTGAGGCAGTCCACTGGGCTTCTGGTAACTTCCAAAGCTCCTTGTAAATATTGCAGGGTAAGGACTTATGGAGAAGCCAGGTTATATATAATCCAAGGGCCAAGAGAAGTCCACAGGGGCAGGATCAATGTCAAAAGAGAGGGAAGATTGCTGAGGACAAGAAGTAAGTGCCGTTAGAATCCTGTTCTTGCAGAGGCCAAGAGGGGGAAAGCAGCCAAGTCAGCTGTGCTCTTCCAGGCAGGTGGAGGGCACTGCCTCTGAGGGCCGCAACAGCCACACCTGTGCCCAGGCAGGTGGAGGGCACCGCCTCTGCAGACGGCAGCAGCCACATCTGTGCCAAGGCAGGTAGAGGGCACCACCTCTGAGGGCTGCAACGGCCACACCTGTGCCCAGGCAGGTGGAGGGCACCGCCTCTGAGGGTGGCTCTACTCACTGGGATAAGAACATGCATAGTAATCCTGCTCACTTACACTGACTCAAACTTCCTTAAAAAAAATTTTGCATTACAATTTATTGATTTTAAGGTTATCAGTGAGAATTAAAATTATTTTA